TGTTCAAATATTCGTTTCTTTTCTCTATTGAGATTCATTCCACGTACCATAAAACTCACCAGTTATGGTGCACAATTCAGTGGCATTTAGCGTATTCACCATGTTGGGCGGCTACCACCTCTAATTCAAGGACATTTTCATCACCCCAGAAAGAAAACTCTACTCATTAGCAGTCACCTTCCATCATCTCCCCCGCCCGGCCTGTGGCAACCAACAGCCTGCTTTCTGTCTCTACAGATTTGCCTGTTTTGGATGTTTCATAGACATGGAATCCTATATCGTGTCCTTGTGTGATTGGCTCCTTTCACTTTGCATGATGTTTTAGGGTTCATCCACGTCGAAGCAGATGTCGGTGCTGTGTTCCTTTTTTATGGCTGACTCATATTCCGTTGTATGGCTTGACCACACCGTGTCTTCTTGGGCTTTGCCTCAGAGGTGACTTTTTTGCCCCAGAGAGGTAATGTCATGTCTGGACACTAAAGAAGCATCAACTTGAGGCAGGTGCTCTGAGCCTGGGGTCCCTGCCTTTCTTGGTCTTGTTTTTAGGCCCTGGTCTGCACGGAATCATGTAAGTGAGACAAAATCTTAGCTACTATGTGTGTATTTGGCCTCTCTAACAGTCCCGACATTGAGGGACCTTGTCCGGGGCTTTCCTGGGAGTAGCATTGAGCTCTATGCAGTGGTCAGGTGTGCCTCATCTCCAGATTGGCGGGTTTGCTGCTGGGAGGCCTGGGTCTGCAGAATTTGGGTCTTGTTTTGTGGATTTTCATGCCTCTTTTCTCTGTCGTCTGCCCACCATCCCTTTCCCGGTCTGGTGGATGCTGCCCCGTGGCATTCTGGAAAAAGGCACCATTTGGGTGTGAGTGGTGATCTCGTAGTCTGGGTCAAGTGCTGTCTGGGGCTTCGGCCAACTGTTCTTTGGCCAGCCCTGAAGAATGGGCTAGTTTGTGTGTTAGCTGACTAGGGAGGCGTGGGATAGAAAAGGAGAAATCTAGAAGTGAGGCCCGCGACTTTCCAGCCAATTCCTGAAAGCCAGAGTCAGGCTGGGATTTCTAAAGGCTTTGGCAACTTGCTTGGCAGCTGTCCTCTCCCCCAGGGAATCCGAATTGCACATCTCAGTGGATTTGGGCCCCATCATTCCATTAGGAGCCCAGCTCTTCTCCCCTGCTGGGTGGGAGGCTGGAGGGAGGGTAATAGTGCGGAACCCCCAGCGTCACGCCAAGTTCCTGTAGAATGTCATGCCCACATTGAGATGAGTGTGGCGGGGTCTCCTCCCCCAAGGCCCACTGTCCCTGTCGTCTGAGTGGGCACCCCATCTGGTTTCCCTGAAGCAGGTTGATGGGCGGGGGGCTGGCGGGCAGTCTGGGCTGGAAGCAGCGGCAGGCTGTTTAATCTGCTTTGATTTCTGGTCTTTGGAGAGGGCTTGGCTACAAGGCCCAATTGTTTATGTCTTAGGAGCCAAAGCAGACAAAAGATGCTGGGGAGAGAGCACAGGAATCCAGATAAAATGCCAGGGCTCCTTGTCAGCTCGCTACAGCTTAATTCTTTACATCCCTGTGAGCTTTCTTAAGAAGGTTATGGTCATTTAAAAATAGTTTTTCAAGAGTCCCTAAAAGAGGGCTTTGCTTGGAAACCAAAGGCAGGGGGTGGGACAGGAAACTGTCAATCTTTAAGCCCCATGGTGTGGATTTGTCTAAGAAAAAGAATTTGCCTTTGTGGCCCAACGTGGGGAAACCCCCTCCCATCCAGACCAGGGGAACCCCAAGGTTCTCCTATGTCTAGGAAGCCATGTCTCTCTCACTAGGATTTTAATTTGGGGAGAGGGGTTCATAGGCGGCTTGACCCTGCTGCCCATGAGGCCTTACCCTGCAAGGACCTGGTGGTCTGCATGTGTAGAAACCCACATGCATGCCCCCCCCCCCCACCCCCGTGTGGATTAAATCCTCTTGTTCTAAAGATGCAGGGAGTCAAAGAACTACAAAGAACGGGTGTGTTGCATGTTTATTATTTGAAGATAACGTCTCAACAACTATCGCTACGTATTTTTAACTCCAGTTAGGTTCATCAGGGACAGGGATGGTCCAGTTGGTCATTCATTAAACTGCCGTCTCTCTTATGTTTATCTTTTTTTTTCCCCCCTAATGGCTCTAGTGAAAGCAGCTTTCTCAGGAAAGGTAACACACACACTCCATTCCCTCTCAGCCAGTGAATCTATTTGGAAATTGCAAATAATTTTCCCTTCCTCTCCTCTTTCCTCTACCATTGGATTTTTTTTTCCATTGACTTTTTTTTTTTTTTTCCAGGAGAAAAACAAATTTTAAGACACTTCCACCCACCCTCATATTTTAGTTTTTCAAGTCCCTTGAAACCCGGGAGTTCTAGATGCACCGAAACACCTTTGGTTCTGATCTCCTGAGGTCACTCAGCTCTAAGAGGAAGGGCTAAGGCCGAGTGCTACTCGCATGGGCCTTTGGGAACTCAAAGCTACCCCTTGAGATCCGCTGATAGATTGATTACCCCCCAGGCTAGGAGCGCTGCATGCTTTCTGACTGCCTTGCCTTTCGGTGAACAACTCAATTTGGTGAGGCTCGAAATTTGTCAACAAGTAATGTTGAGCAATCGTGTGTTTAATGTTCCCAGGCATGTGGCTGAAACCTTTTGAAGGCGAAGGGTGGAAGGCGACAACCCGTTTGTAAGTCAATTCTTTGCAAATTTTGTTTCCTGCGGTGCTCTCTTGGAAAAAAAAAATAAAAATAAAATGAAAAAATTTGAATTCCTTCATCAGCATTTATTTGTTTTCACCCAGCCGGTTTCCCTTGGGTTCAGCAACAATGAGGGGAGACTTCTCTTCCTCTCCTGAAATACAGCCAAAAAATAGATTTTTTTTTTCCTGATCTAGAAAGATTCTCAGGTGCCATGGTGCCCTTCAATGCAGAGCGGCTCGGCTTGGACAGTTTCCCAAAATTTGAAAGGTCAATTGCAACTTCAGAGTTTTACCGATCAAACCTGAAGTCGGGAGATGTGAGTGGGGGTCTGAGAAGAGGTGAGCCTGCCTGTCCTCAGCCTGCTCCGTAGGTACTGGCAATTGGTTTCAAAGTCTCTTGGTCCTCCCTCTGGAGCAGGGGTGGGGTTGAGGCTCCCAGACCCTTCTTTACAGGAGGAGGTCAGGGTCTGTCTCAGTCAGAAGTGCCCCTCTCCTTTTTAAACTCCGAAGGGCACTGATCCGGTGACAGTGAAAAAGGATTAATACTATCCCAGCATTAAAACCAGGGTTCTTGGAAAGTAGCTGGAGCCAAGGAAACCGCTAGATGATGTTCCCAACTCCATGCATCCCCTGGAGGAGCTCAAAAGCATGCGGCGGCCAGGATCTCATTCCAACATACCATCCACCAGAGGTGGGGAGGTCAAATGGACCCACTAAGCAGATGGGAGAAGTGAGGCCCCCAACATGGGAAAAGGGCCTCGCTGTTGAACACTGAGTCAGCAGGGCCTGGGGTGGCCCGGGGACTGAGCTGGGACTCTCAGGGCAGAGCTGAGGCCTTTTGCAGGTGGGCACTGTGAGAGAGGCAGCAAAATGGTATTTTAGGGCAAACGGAGGAGCTAAGTGTGCTTGTCTTTCTTTGCCTTCATCTCACATGTAGAACGTTGCCTGTACACTATTGCAGAAAAAGGTGGGAGCGTGTTCTTGCTTAACATCCAACTCCCTGAGTTTCTGGAAGATAGTAGAGGTGAAGAGGGGTCTGGTCCCTTGAGGCAGACACACTGTTGGTGAGAGGGCAAGAGAGCAGGCTGGGAGTGAGCCTGGACATACAGGATCTATGTGTAGCCTTGGAAGAGAGGGCTCAGCCCCCTGGGGTGGGGGCGGGAGGGAGCCAGGGACCACCTTCTCACCACCCTCATTCCTCACTAACCCTCTCAGGATGAAGTTTCCAGAAGGTTCATCTGTGCAAGGCCATCAGTGGTATTGCTTCCTTCCCATCTTCCTCTGCCATCTCGTCCATATAGACCCATCAGAATCCTCCTGGAGCCCAGGCCTTTTCATAATTCTGATACACAAAGCTGTCTGCACCTACACTTCCTCCCCTATAAGAAACTGCCAAAAGGGAATCTCCATCTGGTCTCCTGCACCAGACCCTGGTGTTAGAGTGGTCCCAGGTCACCGTGGGGACTTGGGTCTAGGGAGTCCTTCTGGAATATGGGCTGGGCAGTGCCAAGTGGTTGTCGGGGAGGAGCAGGAGGTGGGCCCCTCTGAGGCCCCGCCCCTGGCGGTAGGACAGGCCACACCCCCTCCCTCCTCATTGGTCCGCCTCGTGTTGCCTCCTTCCCAGAGTGCAGGAGATGCTTGATAGCCCGTCTGCAAATGGGTAAGGTTTGGGGGTCGATTTCTGCCTTTCAAGGGGCAGGGAGGGATAGCAGAGTCTGTGTAAGAATTTTTTGAGAACAAGGAGGAGCCTGTGTTTGTTGTAGCTGGAATCAGGATCACATCCGCAGGTACCCGCACCCTCCGTCAGTAGGTCAGGGGACAACTCTTGTTTCTCTGCATCTCACAGAAGCACAAAGCGGACCCCATCCGCCTTTCCCTGGCGGCATGCAGCTCAGGGAGCTTTGAAATGATGCTGTCACATAGGCCTCTTTCTCCCCTCTTCCTCCTCATTTGTGCATGCTACTGGTATCTTGCCCCTTCCAGCGCCTCTCTCCTGCCTTCCGGCCCGCCTCCCCCATTTTTCCCCTCACACCATTTGTGCTCTTGCTTAAGATGGTGAAAATAACTCCCACCTGCAGAAACCCCCTCCTCCCAGTTTCCTCCCTGTTTCTCCTTTGCCCTCCAGAAACTGACTTCTACTCCTGGGTCTTTGCTTTCAGGTGCAGCCCAAATTCCGTTACCCCTTCTACTATGAGATGTGCTGGTATGTCTTGGAGAGATACGTATACTGTGTGACCCAGCGGTCCTACCTCACTCAGGAATACCAGAGAGAATCCATGCTTATTGGTGAGTGAAATGCGGACTGGCCGCCTCCACTGCTCAGCTGGGCAGGAAGAATTTTTTCAGTGTGGCCCCTGAGAGTCCCTGAGTTTCTGGAATTCTTTTGAACCAAAATGTCGGATAGATTCCTAGAGACCCTTTAGGAAGGGGAAGCCATCCTTGTTGACCTTCCATTTGGAATACAGGGTCCAAGAAAATGAAATTGTGACCCCCCCCCCAAAGGGTCCCACTGGTGGCCTCCAGGTCTCGCTGGTGACCGTTTAGGTGTGAGGAGAATCCAGTCCAGGCATGGTTGCTGAGACAGGACCCCCACGGAACAAATAATCCCGGTTGTTTTATTTCTCCGTGGCCACCAGCTGATCCCCCTATCCTCACCCCTCTGCTGCACCTAGGGGTTGGTTTTTGTCTATATGGGAGCGGGCCCGCGAGGTGCAGCCAGTCCTCAAAATCTGAGGCCAGCTTTGAGCCAGCGGGAGGGGTGACCAGGGCTGGAGACACAAGCTTGCCAGAGCAGTGGGTGGTTCTGACAGAGGCTGGGAGAGAGCGTTTATAGCCACAGCTGCGGAGCCCTGCCTTACTTCCTTTATTTAAAGGGACATCACCCCCCAAATGGCTCAGTCCTTGAATCTTGACTCATAGGCGCCCGCCTGAAGTTGCCTCTAGCTGTGACAGTGAGCCCCCAGGAGCAATCTGGAGGAACACCCATCTTCCCTCTGTCCCTGCCTCTGAGCTGTTACTGCTGAGGGGTTTCCTGGATGCAAAGTCTGCTGAGCCTCATTCATGGTTTCTGTCTCATCACAGGATAGAAAAATACGATCGGTCTGTCTCCTTTAGGGTTTGCACTGTTTCTTTCTGTTGCAATCGCCAGGATTTTTAGATTCCCTATTTTTTTTTTTTTTTTCTCACTGCAAAAAGCCTTCTTCCCTCCTTCCCTTGACTTTCATCCTCGATGACTTCTGGGGGTTTCATGCTGGGCATATGATGGGGAACAAATGTTTCTGCTGGGGTCTTTATTGGGAAGTGCTTCTTTACCTCCTAGAGGTTCGTTTTGTCTGGGGAGTCTGTTGTGAGTCTCAAACATGTCAGATGATGTAATATTCAGGTGTGGAAAAGTCTGAGACCCCACAGCCTGCTCTTTGGAAGCTCCCAGCTTGGTAGGAATTAGGAAATGATTCTGAAATAATGAGATAACCCCTGTGGTTGTAGTAGCTCCACGTTCCTGTGGGGACCGGTTGGTTGATTTTGTGGCAGTCCTCAGGACCAGCAAACAGGAGGTCACATCTCTCATTTGTGTATTTAGGGCCATAGGAGAACATCCCCGATTCCATTTGCAGGCATGAGACAAAATCTTGAGGCGGCATTTGGGTCATTGGTGCCTGATTTTTTCTTAAAATTTCTTGTCTTTGTTTCTCATTGTCTCAGCACTCCTCCCACAAAAGAAAAGGGGGAGATGTTAGGCAGTTGCCTCATTTATCAAATGCTGGTTGTGCACCAGGACCCATGCTTAGTGATGCCTTACTGAATCCTCACCATAAGTGTTCAGAGTCGTGATTTTGTGAGTTATATATATATATATATATATATATATATATATATATATTTATTTATTTAAATTTATTTATTTTGAGATAGAGAAAGCGTGAGTTGGGGAGAGGCAGAGAGAGAGAGAGAGAGAGAGAGGGAGACTGAGAGGATCTGAAGCGGGCTTTACACTGTCAGTGCAGAGCCTGAGGCAAGGCTTGAACTCACGAGCTGTGAGATCATGACCTGAGCCAATTAGATGCTTAACTGACTGAGCCACCCAGGTACCGCGTGTGCCTTACATTTTTAAAAACATGTGGTTCACATATCCTACAAGGTAATGTGTACAACTCAGTGGTTTTTAGTATATTCCCAGAGCTGTGCAATCATCACCAGTCAATTTTGGGGTTGGTTTCTTTACCCCAGAAAGAAACCTGTACCCTTGAGTTATCTCCTTATCTCCCCCTACCCCAGCCTAGGCAGTCACTAATCTACTTTCTGTCTCCATAGATTTCCCCCTGTTCTGGATATTTCATATGAATCGTTATATGTATTTTTTTGGTCTCATTTTTATATGTTGAAAAGTAAAATGCCAGGTGTATTCAGAGAGGTAAAGCAACCTGAATGGGAACACACAGCTAGGAAGAAACAGAGAGCTGGGATTTGAACCAACGTCTGACTGACCCCTACCTTTCTAGAGGCTGAGGGAGGCATAGACCATTAGAACTGTCAAAAGAAGCGGGGCACCTGGGTGGCTCAGGTCACGATCTCACAGCTTGTGAATTCGAGCCCTGTGTCGGGCTCTGTGCTGACAGCTCAGAGCCTGGAGCCTGCTTCTGATTCTGTGTCTCCCTCTCTTTCTACCCCTGCTCCTCTCATGCTCTGTCTCTCTCTGTCTCAAAAATAAACATTAAAAAAAAAAAAATTAAAAAAAAAAAAAGAAGCCCGGTCTCCTGAGTAAAGGGGAGGCATAGTGAGTGGAGGCTCCAGGGACTTCCAGCAGGGAGTTTGGGCCATTCATCTCAGTCTTCTGCTGACCCTCCTGCTCCCTGTAGATGCCCCAAGAAAACCCAGCATAGACGGCTTCTCATCTGATTCCTGGCTGGAGATGGAGGAGGAGTCCTGTGAGCAGCAGCCTCAGGAGGAGGAGAAGGAGGAGGAGGAGGAAGAGGAGGAGGAGGAGGGTGCAGATAAGGTGCCCAAACTTCCGGCTGATGGTCCTGCCTCGCCCACCAGCACCCCTTCAGAGGACCAGGAGGCCCCCGGGAAGAAGCCCAAAGCACCTGCCATGCGGTTCCTCCAAAGGACTTTGTCTAACGAGTCGGAGGAGAGTGTGAAGTCCACGACGGTGCCCACAGACTACCCCAAGACGCCCACTGGCTCTCCAGCCACGGGGGTCTCTGCCAAGTGGACCCACCTCACCGAGTTTGAGCTGAAGGGCCTGAAAGCGCTGGTGGAGAAACTGGAATCTCTCCCAGAGAACAAGAAGTGTGTCCCCGAGGGCATCGAGGACCCCCAGGCACTCCTGGAGGGTGTGAAGGTGGGCAGGGGGTCGCATCTGGACCTGGGCGGCTGAGAAGGGCCTGGCAGTTCCCAGGGGCAGCTCAGCACAGGGTGGCTTGGTGCAGACTGTCCTGGGGGTATGTCTATGCATGGAAAGGGGCTTCTGGTCCAAGCAAGCCCTTGTAGGGCCCCTGAGCTGAGGCCACCATTGAGCTATATAGGGGGAGCTGCCTCTGTGGTTGGCAAGGACTTATTCTCAGCACTTATTGAAAATCTGGCAGGCTTTGCTGGCATTAGACATCATGGGTGTGCCCACAGTGCTGTTGTTAGGTTTGGGGACAGACCCCTCCATCCTGTTCAGCAAGACTCTGGGCTGGCTTCTCCCAGAGCATGCATCTGTTTCATATGACCAGTTGTGCCTCCTGGTGGTCCTCTAGGTGGCCTGCTGAGGTAGCCACCTGGGGTTCAGAGGTCTTTAAGCAGAGCCTAATTATTGAGCAAATATTCATTAAGCACCATCTGGGCTAACCACTGGGGAAACAGAAAGCAGGAAGGCATTGGTAGCTTACCTATTAGCAGGGAAGTAGAAAGGAGAAAAAGTCAGGACATAGGGAATTAAGTTGCCTGTGGCATGCTGTGTGTACCCAGGGCATAGAAGTGAGGTGAAGAACACTCATCAGCCACACCAGGTGCCAGGGCTCTGAGACAGTTACGCAGAGGGCATTTGGCTTGGGCCTTAGAGGTTGCATAGGAGTTCTCTGGAAGGGGAAGGCTGTTACAGGCACAGTGCACACAGGCAGTGTGTGTATTTCCTAGGACATACCCTGAGAGGCCTTGCCCTGTAGTAATCATCATCATACCATTTGTGGAAAACTGGCTACCTGTCAGGTACCAGTGCTAGGCAAGCTACCTCAACTATCTGCACTTACCAGATACGGAAGTAGGTTCAGAGAGGGTAAAGGATGTGCCTGAGGTGACAGAGCAGGTAAATGAGGGGAGCTGGGATGAGGACCTGGGAGTGGCTTAAGAGCTCTCAAGTGTATACCACTATGCAGAACCACCTCTTTTTTCAACATCGGTCAGGCTTTTTGCTGTGAGGCCTCGGAGGCATTTAGGCTTCCTCTTCCAGTGTCTGATTCCCCAGTGAGTCCAGCTGCCTGCTGCTGGGGTTGGAAGCAATTTAAGTCTCTTTTTTGATGGCTGGAGACGATACCCAGGTCTTGTAAACTAGTTCATGCGTTCACTGATTCATTTAGGAAACAGGTGTCAGGGCCTGCAATACAGAAATATTAATAAGATCCTGTCCTCAAGATGCTCAGTGATCTGGGGGCTGAACTCTTATTGGAGTGAGACCCCAGGGCAGGCAGAGGGGCACCACCCGCAAAGGGAGAGGGTGTTCAAAATCATTAATCCAGATATATTTCACTTCATATAGAAGGTGTGCTCCTCCAGGTGCCATGAAATGAAAATCTTATAAACTGGAGGAAATTGCCTGGTAAAAGAACTCTATGGTGACCATCCCTATAAAGCAAATCTTTACTTGCTTTGGGTCTTTTTTATTGACTCTTGACTTTTTTATAGGTTGCTGACCTCACCTGAGGGTTTTATATAAATTTGCTTATACACACAAAATTTTGCATGCCAGGTCAGGGGACTCCTAACCTGTTGGATTCCTGAGCCTGTTCCTGGACCCTGGGTTAAGAATCCTTAATCTCTCGGTATGGAGTTTTATCTATTGGGTTTCCCAAAGAAACCTTAGCATTCTTTCATGAGGCTCCTTTTTTTCTTCTGAGGTCCTTTAAAGTAAAAAAAAAACAACAAGGAATTTTCATCAGTCATAAGACCATTAATAGTATTGGGGCCCCTACATATTGTGAGTTAAAAACACATTCATCTTATAAGGAAATGTTGTTCTGTGCTTGTGGAAAGCCCTTTTTTTACTTTAGTTTTTTTTATTTTTGAGAGAGAAACAGAGCATGAGAGGAGGAGGGGCAGAGAGAGAGAGGGAGACACAGAATCCAAAGCAAGCTCCGGGTTCTAAACTGTCAGCACAGAGCCCGATGTGGGGCTCGAACCCACAAACTGGGAGATCATGACCTGAGCCGAAGTTGGACACTTAACCGACTGAGCCATCCAGGCACCCCTCTGTTTTTTACTTGAAATGCATCTTTGTGTCTCTGATCTGTTTGTGTAGTGTTCCTGGTTCCTCAGTTGGTCAGATTTCTTTCTCGGGGTGAGACTTGGCCCCTCCTGTCTCTCACGTGTACCCACCTGATGGGCATCTGAGACTGGATTCAGCCTAGGCTGGTCGATGGTGTGGAGGAGGCCTGGGGGAGGGGTTTAGGTAAATTTTAAGGAGCCCAGCCTCCTCCCTCCTATCCCCACCATGGGGTTCAATGGCAGGTTGTGATAATGTGTGATAATGCATCTCAATTGCGATGTGCTCTTATAGGGGTTTTCCATATATAAACTCATTTAAACCTCCCAACAACCCTCAGTAGTATTTTTACTAGCCTCATTTTGCAGATGAGAAAATTGAGGTACTGATAGGTTAAGTGATTTGCCCAAGACCACAATGGGGGAGTCCTTGTGTTTACCCCCTACACCATACTGCTTTGTAGAGAAATTCTCTCCCCTCTCAGAGGCCACTCTGCATTTAGGGAGAAGGTAGTAAGGGGACTGCTTGGGCTTTCTTTACAGAAGCAATGGGTCAGGCCCTGGAACAGGTTATAAATCAGCAGTCCCTGGCCAAATCCAGCCTCTTGGCATTATGTTTGGCCTGCACAGTATGAAATATATTTTTGTAATTACTTGCCAACATTAAAATATCAGAAAAGTCATAAAAAAAATATCCTAGTTCTCCTGGCCTGTGTTCCAGACTGGCTACCATTAGTAGGAAGTGAGTAGCAGCACCCCACTCCCCACCACTCCCTACTGCCTCCCTGAGTGTGTATTTATTATTAGGCTCTCACATCTTTTTTTCATATAATCTAGTCACTTAGCTCACTTATTGAACTTGCCTCTCTCTCTCTCTCTCTCTCTCTCTCTCTCTCTTTTTTTTACTAAAATAGCAGAAGAGATGATTGATTGTATACATGTTCCAAATGAAAACAGAATTAGTCCCGAAAGTCACAGGTCCAGGGCAAAGGACCAAAAGGGAGTGTTTTTTGGTCTGAACAAGCTATGTCTCTCAAAGGTGGTCATTGTGATCAGATGGTGCTGGATGTTTTAGATCCACTGAATCAAGTTCTAGAAAGTAGCTGTGCAGTTCAGGAACTCGTACCCGTGTCCCTGGCCTCTGGCTTTCCTTATTTCTGCTCCTGTGGCTTCCGTGGGTGCATAAGCTAGTGGTTTACTTGGACCTGTGTCCCATCTTTCTTCTTTTTCTCCTTAGCCTGTGCTTTTGCTTCTTTCTCCACTTGGCTCTCATGGCGCAGAGGTTTCCAGGAAGATGGCAACTGAGGCTGAGAGAGCTTGAATTGCCTATCTTTGGAGATATTTATGTTCTTGAGCCTTGTCTGGGGAGGCCTTTTGCAGCTTGAAGAGCTCGTAAATTGGGTAGACAGGTCTCCTTAGAGCCTCAGGAAAACTGGAGCAGCTGCTGGTGTCTAAGTGCTGTGTGGCCAGGAGTCTGTACAGGGAAGTGGGCCAAACATCTCTTCCAGAACAGGGGAGTTCTTGGCTGTCCAGCCAGGCCATTAGCCCCTCACGGTCCCTGGAGACCCAGAAAAGATGTGGCATCCAAGAGTGACCTTCAGAGCGAGAGTGTTGTTACGGACACTGGCTGCACACACTTCGGTGCCTTTGTTCTCTGTCCTCAGATATTGAGCTTTCATTTGTGCTGGCTGAGAAATCAAACACAGGTCAGGAATGTGGGTCCCGTGCCTATGGGTATCCCTACCATTGAGTGATTCGTGTCTCTGGCCAATGGTGGTTCCCACTTGGTGACTGACCAGTTATGATCTTTGGCTGTGTTGCAAAAAGACAACATTTTTCCTTCTGTCCTTTTCTCCGGGGCCTCAGAGATTGCTGCTGATGGTGGTTCATGGTAACCAGAGGCCCCTGGGATTGGAGACGGTCCCAAAACAACTCGGTCTCCAGATGGCTAGGTTTTGGCTTTTATCAAAAACCCATTTTTGGGGGGCGCCTGGGTGGCTCAGTCGATTAAACATCCGACTTTGGCCCAGGTCATGATCTCACAGTTTGTGAGTTCAAGCCCCACATTGGGCTCTGTGCTGACAGCTCGGAGCCTAGAGCCTGCTTCAGATTCTGTCTCCCTCTCTCTCTGCCCCTCCCCTGCTTGCACTCTGTCTCTCTCTCTCTCAAAAATAAATAGACATTTAAAAAATTAAAAAAAAAACCGTTTTTTTCATAAAAAAATTAAAAAAAATTTTTTTTAATTTTAATGTTTATTTATTTTTGAGAGAGAGCAAGAGGGAGCATGCATGCACAAACGGGGAGGGGCAGAGAGAGGGATACAGAGGATCTGAAGGAGGCTCCACGCTAACAGCAGAGTCCGAGGTGGAGCTCAAACCCACGAACCGCGAGATCATGACCTGAGCTGAAGTCAGACGCTTAACAAACAGAGCCACCCAGGCGCCCCCCCACCCCCACCAATTTTTTATTTAAATTCTAGTTAGTTAACATACAGTGCAGTATTGGGAAAACTCATTTTTTTCTTTCATTTGTAATGTATTTATTACATTTTGTTTTTAATTATTGAGAGACAGACACAGAGTGTGAGCAGGGGAGGGGAAGAGAGAGGGGAAGACACAGAATCTGAAGCAGGCTCCAGGCTCTGAGCTGTCAGCACAGAGCCCGACGCAGGGCTCAAACTCACAAACCACCAGATCATGACCTGAGCCAAAGTTACTCAGGCACCCCTGTAATGTGTTTTTTTTAATTGTGGTAAAATACACATGACACTATTTTGTCTTAAAATGTTTTCTTTTTTGGGGTGTCTCAGTGGCTCAGTCAGTTGAGCATCCGACTTTGGCTCAGGTCATGATCTTGAGGGTTGTGGTTTTGAACTCCGTGTCAGATTCTGTGCTGACAGCTTGGAACCTGGAGCCTGCTTTGGATTCTGTGTCTCCCTCTCTCCCTGCCCCTCCCCCACTTGCACTCTGTCTCTCTCTCAAAAATAAATAAACATTAATTTTTTTTCTTTTTTACTTACTAGATCACTACTTTAGAATCTTCCAAAATGTTCAAGAATTGGGGCACCTGGGTGGCTCAGTCGGTTGAGCATCCCACTCTTGATTTTGACTTAGGTCGTGATCCCAGGGTCATGGGATCGAGCCCTATGTCAGGCTCTGTGCTGAATGTGGAGCCTGCTTGAGATTATTTCTCTCTCTCTCTCTCTCTCTCTCTCTCTCTCTCTCTCTCTCTCCCCCCCTCTCTCCCCCGCTGCCCCTTTCTCCTGCTCCTGTTCTCTCTCCAAAAAAAAAAAGAATGGAATACTAAAAAAATCTTCAAGAATTTACCATCTTAACCATTTTATTTTATTAAAATACTTATTTTAATTTTTAAATTTATTTTATTATTATTATTATTATTATTTTAATATTTATTTATTTATTTATTTATTTATTTATTTATTGAGAGAGAGAGAGAGAGAGAGAGAGACAGAGACAGAGTGTGAACTGGGGAGGAGCAAAGAGAGAGGGAGACACAGAATCTGAAGTAGTCTCCAGGTTGGAGCGCTTGGGTAGCTCGGTTGGGCGTCCAGCTTCGGCTCTGGTCATAATCTCTTGGTTCGTGGGTTCCAGCCCCATGTCCGGCTCTGTGCTGATGGCTCAGAGCCTGGAGCCTGCTTCAGATTGTGTCTCCCTTACTCTTTCCCCCTCCTCCACTCAGGCCCTCTCTCTCTCTCCCTCTCTCTCTCTCTCAAAAATAAATAAACATTAAAAGAAACTAAAAACAAAAAATGAAGTAGGTTCCAGGCTCTGAGCTGTCAGCACAGAGCCCGACGCAGCACAGAGCTGACGCGAGGCTCAAATTCATGAAACGTGAGATCATGACCTGAGCTGAAGTTGGATGCTTAACTGATTGAGCCACCCAGGCGCCCCAATATTGTTTTAATTTTTTTATTTTTAAGTAATCTCTACACCCAATGTGGGGCTCAAACTCACGGCCCCCAGATCGAGTCACATGCTCCACTGACTGAACCAGCCAGGCGCCCAATCTTAACCATTTTCAAGTGTATAGTTTAGTGACTTTAAGTACATTCACAATGTTGTGCAACCACCACCTGTGTGTAGTTCAGAATATTTTTAACATCCCAGACAGAATCCTGTCCCTACTAGCAGTCAATCCCCATTTCCCCCCTCCCCTTGTCTGCTTTCTGTCTTTATGGGTTTACCTATTCTGGATATTTCTTTTCTGTAAAAGTTTCAAGTGTTCCATGATCAATGTAAGAAAAATTAAACATTGTAGGCTGGAGGCTAGAAAAAATGTCCTCCTCCTCAGCTTTCCCAATTGGAGGTAACCCCCTGTTACTCATCTGCTAAATATATTTCTGGGGCTTTCCCGTCGTCCCCATGTATACGTCATTTTTTAAAAGTTGGATTGCAAGTTGCAAAAGCAACTTGCTTTTGTCCCTTAAAGAAGCTTTTTGTGTTTTTATCTTCCTGTAAGTCTAGCTTATACTCTTTTGGGGGGCAGAACTTTCGAAAGGTGAGTTTGTCCTTGCTGTGACCCTGTGGTTTCAGTAGTTCCCAGTGAGCTCATTTGTACCTTGAAAACTTGCCTTGAGAGGGTCTGGATTTAGATGCAAACCAAAACGACCACCCTGACTTCATTTATATTGTGAAAAGAAAGATTCAAGCGTCTTGTAAAAATCGAACTGAGAAAGCCATTTCCTTTCCCTGTGTTTGTGAAATCCTTGGGGTTTGGCACTGAGATATCTTTAGCAACTTCCTTCTTTCAGAGCACTTCTGCTGGAGGAGTGTAGGATATTGGCCTGTACCTAATGGGGAGAATAGGAAATCAGGACACGAGACCCTTGAGTTCTATTTCCGTTTGTTCTTTGCCGCGTGCTGTGTGGTCAAGTCATTCCACCCATCTGTTCACCTGCACGTAAAACAAGAGTTTGGGACTAGCTGTGCTTTGTCTTGGTGGGAACCAGATTCTGTAGGTCCTTGGCTGTTCTGAAAGGCTTCACCAGTTGAAACCTGAGTGTCTTCACTGTAAAACGGGGCTAACAACAGGGACCTATGTCCCTGAAGTATTTTGAGTGACAATGAGGTAAGGAATGCCTAGCGCTCCTAGTTAAACCTGTGGAGAATAATTAGATATTCATAGGTGACAGCCCAAGGAGAGCCAGCCTGGCCTTGGCCAGCTCCCCACCCTTCCCCAGCTCTGTCCCATCTCTTAGCTTCCCCCACATCCATCTTCCAGGTTAATGATTGCCATCTGGGTGAGTTTCCTAGGGCCTGCCATAACAAAGAACCACAGACTGTCTTAAGACAACAGAAACTTATTCTCTCACAGTTCTGGAGGCTGGAAGTCTGAAATCAAAGCCGTGCTTTTGCTCTGAAGACTCGAGGGGAGGAAGGAACCTTCCTTGTCTTTTCCAGTTTCTTGTGATTGCCAGCAATCTTTGGCATTCCTTGGCTTGTCCCTAGATCACTTCAATCTCTGCCTCCGTCTTCGCATGGTTGTTTGTCTTTTCCATGTGTCTTCTTCTCTTCTGAGGACATCAGTCATTGGATTAGGTCCCACCCTCATCCACTATGACCTCATCTTAACATGATTACATCTACAAAGACCCCATAACTTAGTAAGGTCACATTCTGAGGTTTTGCACATGAATTTTGAGGGCCACGCTATTCAACGCACTGCATCATCTTTTTTCTCTTCCATCTTGGATTTCCAACAGTAAGATGGGAGTTGCCCTGGATGCTGTTCCTTCTAGAAGAATCTGTACTTTCAACTAGAACTCAGGGAGAGAGAGATCTGGTTCCTGTCGGGAGGAAAGGGAGGCATGGTGCTGTTTTGGGGGCAGGTCTACTCAAATTGACTGTAAATGACTTGAAAATTACCAGTGCATTGCAAGGTTGTGAGGGTTTGGGTCTAAGTGGGTGGTGACCAGTGAGGTTGGAGATGGGAGGATCTTTGTCAATTACCCCATTGCAAGGTTATTCTGCAGCTGTTTTTGTTAGTTGAAGTAATACCAGACTCCCCTGGCTGCCAGACTGTCAACTTGGATGACAAAGGCCAGCTCACCACAGACAACCACCTTTCTTGTTGCTTGGAATTGTGGGGTTGCATGGAATTACGGGGCTGGAAGAGCCAGCGAGGGGCCATTGTTTTCAGGTGTTTTTTATGTATATATATATATATATTTTTTTTTTTTCAACATAAAAGAAAGAAATCAATTCTATCGTTCTTTCATTGAAACCCAAATATCATAGGAAAGAAAATGATTGTAAATTAAGAGTACATTATCCAAACATGTATTATCTTTTAAGACCAAAGTTTCTGGAGTCAGGCTGAATCCCATGTGCCATCCATTAACCAGCTGAATGCTCTTGGGGAACGTGATAAAATTCAGTGAGGCAACATGCATAAAGCTTTACTTAGCACAGGCCTTTAAGTGCTCAGTAACCTGGAGCTGTTTTATTATCATTACTATTATTGTTATTATTATTACTATTATTATTTCAGACACCGTGGAATGAAAACAGGCCCATTTAGGGATGAGTGTGAGAGTTTGTGAAACCCATGACCGTGGAACGTTTATACAGCTTTTCTCTCAGGGGGTCATCAGCCCTCACCTCGGAACACACCTGCTTGTTTAAGCCCCTCCCCCGCCTTGGTGTTGTGCAAAATAGTAAGGTGTAGAGCCCAGACCTCTGGAACTATTGGTTTTTTAATTTATTACCACCACCACCACACCTGCTTCAGAAGAGCCAAAAAGCAGGAAGCCAGTGGGAGGTCTGCAGCCCGGCTCCCTCCCGCCCCGGAGGATGGCCCAGAGCATAGAGAAGGTACCGCACAGATTGAGTGGGGCTGGGGGTCTGGCCTCCAGTAGTTGCTCAGGCTCTCCTGTTGGGGGCTGGATGTAATATTGAGCCGTGTGTTTTGTATTTTTGCTGGGCAGGGAGGGGATAGAGGGTTGACACAAAGGTGAGTGAGACAGGCCTAACCATCTACTATGACGACAAACCATGCATACTCCGAGTTCTCTGCCTGCACCACCTCAAGGGAACGGAGGAGGACCGCCAAGGGCCAGAGATCTGAGTTCCAGACATCTGGGCAAACCCTAGACCTGAAAAATGGATAGATTGTCCATGTCAGCTGGAGCTTTTTTTTAGCCTAAAATTAACTTGTGGGCGTTATTCTCTCTCCTAGTTAGGCAGCTCAGTCAGCTTTTAGACTGCCCTTCCAACTAAATAAACTTTTACATTTCCCTGTGCTTAGAACTTGTGAAGTAGTGGAATTCTGCAGACAGAGGACAGGGACAGTGTATTCCAGCAGGAAATGTGACATAAGCCACAAGAGATCGGCCAAAAGTTGTTGAACATTTACTGTGTACCTGGTACCTTCCATGCATTGTGATCCTTGCCACAACCTGGCGAGGTGGAGACTATTATCATCCCATTTCTTAGATGGAGAAACTGAGACTCAGAGAGATGTAGCGACTTGCCCAAATCATGCAGCTAAGAGGCTTTTAGCCACAGTATGCTACGGCAAGTTTGTGCTAGTTGCCTGTCACTGCCATAACAAATTAATTACAAACTTGGTGACTTTTTAAAATGTTCGTTTGTTTGTTTGTTTTTTAGAGAAAGAGAGAGAGCATGAATAGGGGCAGGGCAGAGAGAGGGAGACAGACAATCCTAAGCAGGCTCTGCGCTGTCAGCACAGAGCTCAGTGTGGGGCTCGAACTCCCGAACCGTGAGATCATGACCTGAGCCAAAATCAAGAGTCGGACGTCTAACCGACTGAGCCACCCAGGAGCCCCAAACTTGGTGGCTTAGGACAACAGAAATTTCTTCTCTCACAGTCTGGTCTGCATCCTGAGAAGGCTCTAGGGGGGCATTCTTTGCTTTTCCAGCTTCTAGTTGTTCCTGATGTTGCTTGGCTTGTGGCTGCATGCCTGCAGTCCCTGCCTCTGTCTTCCCACAGCCTTCTTCCTTGTGTCTCTGTTCACATCCCCCTCTTCTTTCTCTTATGAAGACACCAGTCATAGGATTTAGGGTGCACCCTAAATCTAGGATTATTTCATCCGGATAGCCTTAAACAATTACATGTGCAAAGAACCTGTTTCCAAGTAAGGTCACATTCACAGGTACCAGGGATTAGGATTTGAACATACCTATCTGGGAGATATGGTGCACCCCAGTACAGATGGGTTTTTACAGGCGGGCACATGGTGGTTGGGCTGGGGCAGAGGCAGAGAACTTGAGAGGCCCAAAGTGCATTGAAATCCAGTTCCTGTGGCAAGTAGAGGACCCCTTAGTCTGCTAGGTTCCTCAGAGCAGCATCGGAGCTGCTCCAGGCCTTGTGACCTTGTTACCTTCCTTTTTACCCATTGATTCTTTCCTGATGCCTGCCTCTGCTTTATTATCATTATTATTAACACCCCACCCTAGGGAATGGTGGGGCCTGAATCTATTGTTAACCAATTAAACTCTCTGAGAGAGTTAGAGTAACAGGGAACAGAGGCCCAGCACTTCCGTTGTCTGTGGTCATCTTGTTGGGTCAAAAGCAGGGCAGTTTCCAGCAGAAACAGCCTCTAGTGTCCTGAATCTCTCTCTCTCTTTTTTTCTCAAATTTTTAAATGTTTATTTTTGAGAGACAGAGAGAGACAGAGTATGAGCAGGAGAAGGGCAGAGAGAGAGACACACAGAATCCAAAGTAGGCTCCAGGCTCTGAGCTGTCAGCACAGAGCCTGATGCATGGCTCAAACCCATGGACATGGAGATCATAACCTGAGCTGAAGTTGGACACTCAACTGACTGAGCCACCCAGGAGCCTCAATCTTTCTCTTATTTACTTACTTACTTATTTATAGCATGCACAGATGCACAAGTGAGGGGAGAGAGAGAGAGAGGGGAGAGAGTCCCAAGCAGGCTCCATGCTTAGCACAGAGCCTGATGCAGGGCTCAATCCCACAACCCTGGGATCATGACTTGAGCCGAAATCAAGAGTTGGGTGCTCAACTGACTGAGCCACCCAGGCACCCCCCAATCTTTCTCTTTTAGAAAGTCTGCCCGAGGCTTTCTAATTGGGAAGGTTTATAGGATGTAACCCAAAGGCCCCTGGGCTCGTATTACCTAGTCTCTGCTTCCTAGAGCCCCAAGGAGTGTATAAATTCTGCAGAGCCCAGGGAAGCCAGTGACAGGAGTTTCTTCAGCACAATTTATTTCTCAGAGAATCTCCAATTTGAATAATCTCCTTTTTCTGTAGCCTGTCACATACTAATGAAAATACTTCTCTGCGGGACAGAACCCCGAGCGCCCCCTAGTGGCCAGTGAGGTCCATGGGGGAACTGCTTCCTACAGTGAGTGTGTGTGAGGTGCCCCACTCTAGGGTACTTGGGGAGGTCTCTATTAATTTTTGATTATTATTTATTGTTACTAATGTATTTTTAGTTATTAATAATACTTACACCTCCAGTAATAGCTTTTTGTAACCAGACAGTCCTCTAAAGCGGCCTCACCTTGCTTGTGAGTGATGGACTCCAGCTTGATACTGAAATGATAGGAAATCTTGAGACAGTTCAGAAAGAAACTCCAAGAAAACCAAGGTGAATGGACTTTATTTTCAATCTTACACAGAGTAGCATTTGTATACTGGTGGCCCTTGGGCTAAACTGGCCTACAGATCTTGTTAGGCTCACAATTGTTTTTTTATTTTTGTTTTTGTTTTATTATTATTATTATTATTATTATTTTCAACGTTTATTTATTTTTGGGACAGAGAGAGACAGAGCATGAACAGGGGAGGGGCAGAGAGAGAGGGAGACACGGAATCGGAAACAGGCTCCAGGCTCTGAGCCATCAGCCCAGAGCCTGACGCAGGGCTCGAACTCAGGGACCGCGAGATCGTGACCTGGCTGAAGTCAGACGCTTAACCGACTGTGTCACCCAGGCGCCCCTATTATTATTATTTAAAAAATTTTTTAATCAGTTGTCAACATTTAAGTGATTTCAGATAAAACTCTGGATCTTTGATTTCTTCTGGAAAATCAAAGATCTGGTGGGGCTTTCATGTCCACAAGAGGTTAGTAGGTTGGAACTGAGTAGCATTTGCCCTCTTTAAACTGGGCCTGTGCCTTCTAGTTTGCATAGACCACACCACTGTCTAGTGCTCTCATTTGTTGATATCTTGCATTTTTATCTGCTTGGTTCCTGGAAGCATTTGAGTTTGTCATCCCAGCCTGGAGTTTGCAATTAGGGTAAGGGGGCAGGAAGCCCTGTGGAAGTAATGGGCCCCCTGCTGCAACCATATGGTAAGATAGGTATATATATATATCATTCCAATATATATTGGAATATATAATATATATCCACACATATATTGAAAGGTTTTGCCTAAACACAGAGCATCTTACTTGACAATCTTTTTTTTTTTTTTTACCTTTTTTTGGGGGGGTAGGGAAATATTCTTAAAAAACCCCACAGAACTCTGATGTATGGTGTAGCAGGTTGTGAAA